CATACTTTCTCGACAAAAACTCGCTTATCGCTGTGTGGAAATAACTACCTACAGTTTGGATACTGTTTATTCTCAGTGCTTCTGAGCTTACTATCACCTACCCGGTAACTTCTTTGCATTCCATACGACTACAGTATTATCCATTGAAGCCGATGCCAGATAGCGCCTGTCACTCGACCATTCAACGCTCAATACCTGATCAAAACATACAACCCATTAATTATTATGAAAATCGTGAAAATCATCAGAAAAGTACCACAGTACCTCCATCGAGTGGGTGTGTAGGGTGTGTGTTAACCTGTATTTCTCCACATTTACCACCGATTTGCTTCCAATCGAGCCAGCCGACTGCACACGGCCACCTTCAACAGAAAACGATTTCTATCGAAAAATTTGGCACTGTATTCGAACATACGAACCACAACAGTAGTGAGTAGAGGAATAGTGAGCCGCTCGGCGTTAACCTAGTACTAAGCCCGGAGTGATCCACGCACCGGACATCCACCCAGGATCGTCGTCCTATTTGGTGGTGTTTATTTGGCCTTTTCAATGGGAAGCCACGCATTCCACTTCCCTTCATAATCGTACGGAGTTTTGAATGCCATTTACATATATAGTGAGTTCCAGGGCTAGCCGACCAATTTTGTCTTCCTTGGTGTATCCGGCCACAACTAACCGACCCCGGATGTGGAAAAAGCTTACTCCATCCATCCTAGATTTGACCCGCGGACCTGGCGCGTGATAAGCGGCGCCTCTTGATACTAATCCGCACCTCCGATTGAGATATACACAGGGCACATTCTGCCGTTAAGCAAAATTTCCACAAAAGACGACCCTTCTCAAAGGTTCCCTCACTGGTAGGCCAGCCCACCCTTCCCCATCCCACCTACCCTTTCCCTAAATTCTCCCATTTTCCTGCGGCATTATCCCGAAAACGTGTCTGAATTTGTCGTTGTCTTTATTTTTATTCGCTTGAATGTTTTCGTTGTCCAACCCATCAGTTTCGAGCACATTGTAGCGCACCCTCGCGTGCATAGTAAATAAATAAATAAATAAATAAATAAATAAATCAAAAGCGGAGGAGCGTATATAGAAAGGGTGTGG